TTGAGCTGGACTGTGGAGGACACAGAAGTATTTTTGGTTTTTTTAAGAAAGGAACATCACTGGAAAATCCTTTTCATTATTTCTCATCGATATTTCATGACAATGATACCAAAAAAAAAATTTGAGAATATTTAGCTTAACCCTTTTTGTGCTATAAGAAAATATGAATCCGAATCTAAGTGTATGGATATTTGTACAAATTTAAAGTATTGTAACAGCACATATCTTCTTCTGTACCCTGTTTGCCACATGGGATTTTAAAGAGGAAAATGAATGTGTAACAGGAATTCTCCTGACAAAGGAAATCACTCCTCCCTTGGGCAAATATAGGACTCTGCTTAAAGAGAGACACTTCTAGAAACTGGGGAGATTAACAGAGGGAAAAGAGCAAGTAAAAGACAGCCAAGCTCAAACAGAATCACAGAATTAATTAGGCTGGAAAAGAACTCTGAGATCATTGAGACCAATCCATGACCAAATACCCCATGTCAACTAGACTATGGCACTATATGCCACACCCAGCCTTCCCTTAAACACCTCCAGGTGACTGCACTATGTCCCTGGATAGCTCATTCCAATATCTAGTCACTCTTTCTGTGAAGAACCTCTCCTGGTGCAGCTTGAGACTATATCCTCTCATCCTGTCACTGGCTGTCTGGGAGAAGAGGCCGATTTTCACCCGGATACAATCTCCCTTTAGAAAGTTGTAGAGTTATAAGGCCTCCACTGAGACTCCTTTTCTCCAGTCTTAGCCTCTCCTCACAGGACTTGTGCTCCAGAACCTTCCCCAGCTCTATTGCACTTCTCTGGACACACTCAAGCTCCCCAATGTCCCTTCTAAATGGAGGGGTACAAAACTGAGCACAGAACACAAGGTGCCTGTGCCCACTACGGGACAATCACTGCCCTTTTCCTACTGGCCCCATATTTCTGACCAAGCTCAGAGTGCCATTGGCCTTCTGGGCTACCTGGGCACAGGTCACTCACAACTTGCTGACAACCAGCACCCCCAGGCACTTTTTTTGCTGGGCCACTGTCTGGCTATTCCATTCCCAGCCTGTAGCTCTGCATGGCGTTGTTGTGGCCAAAGTGCAGGACCAAGCACTTGGCCTTGTTGAATCTCATTCCCTTGGTGTTGGCCAATCAACCCAGCCTGCCCAGATCCCTCTGCAGAGCAAAGCCAATCAACCCAGCCTGCCCCCCCAGCAGATCAACATTCCTGTGCAACTTGGTGTCATTTGCAAATTTGCTAACTGTAGACTCAATCCTCTCATCCAGAGCAATAAAGATGGGCCAACACTGATCTCCGAGAGAACATGAACAAAAAAACCCTCCTATTTTCTGGGAACTAGAGGAAATTATAGAGTTGGCCACCATTAAAAAGAAAGGTAAGACACAACATGACAAAAATCATGCTTGAAATACAGCATTTGCAAAGATACAGTGGGCAGGGAGGTATTTGCTTATAAACTTTTAGATTTTTATTCTGTCAAGTGTATTTCCAATTTTCTCATTTTCAAAGGCTACTGTTTTAGCTTATAGTCTAATAAATAAAGTCCTTTAGCTTTCTTATGTGAATTTGATTTCAAGAAGGTCTAGTCAGACTCAAAGCTTAAAGCAGCAGCAAGAGTAGCTCCTGAGCTTATAAAAACATGCTGCTGTAGGAAAGAGATTTAAAATACCCAAGTAGTTAAAAGATCAAATGTACCTTTCAGAAGATTTTTTTTTTTATTAAATAAAAAACCCCTTATGAATAGACGAGTTTACAACAAGACAAAATTCACCTTAAAATCATATTCCAAACCTTACTGTGGTTCCTAAACTCTAGAGAGTTCAGCATTTGCTGCATTCTTGGTATATACAGATTTTCATTTAACTGAAAATCTTTCAGTTAAGGTTCTGAAAAGTTTTATCTTAGCAAAACAGTTAAACAGAGTGGTGTTTTTTCTAACAGATCTCTTAAAGTACAAAGACACAGTTCACCTAATAAGGAGGCAAATTCAAACTGCAGACACTGACAAAGAGATGTATAGCACAATGGAGGGGTGAGAAGAGAGAGAAATCTGAATAATTACATAAAATCTAGCTCTCTCAGTTTCATCCTGGTCACTTGTCACTCTCTAACATCTACAAAACAAAGATGCAAGTAAAAGAGCTAAAACAGAAATCTTTGACAGTAAAGTAGCTTTCTAGTTTCTCATGTAGCCCTGAAAATTTCAGTGCTGTTGGAAGTTGATGAACCACACTGCTTCTGAGATCAGAAGCCGGAATTATTTAATGACAAATATCAGCTTTTGTTCACAAAGACAAGTTTAAAGGTTAATTATGCTATACTCACTGGACTTGTACCTAAGAGATTGCCCAGAACTCTAAAAGATGATATAAAAAACCCTGCACTACTCTAAAGTTGTCCAGAATCAGCATCTTTTCTAGTCTTATTGAGAGACTTCAACCTTTGCAGCTGAGCAGTGGGGGATTCAGCAAAGGGAGGAATGAAAGAGCCCTTCTGTGTCACTTAGGTCTTTCACTTATCATTGAACTTCAACCTCAAAATGAATGAAAAAAAGAATGCTGCTTGGTGGCATTATACAGACAAATTCACTAGTATTAAAAAAAAAATCAATAAAAAAAAATCATATAATGCCAAAGAGAGAACTGTTCATACCATATATAAACACTATTAATTATTAAAGTAATCAGTGGTATACTACTGGTTTATACTAGGACATGGGAATCAGAATATAAAATACAGGCATTTTTGTGTAGGATTTGTCATATCTGGAGAGAAACTACCCCAGTACTTCTTCTGAAGCTTAAAAACCAACACAGCTGAACTCATTCTTTTGTTCACTGCAAGTAAAAATGAACTTCTCTAAACATAGCTATACTGTTGGCTATTAATTGTGCCCATGGCATACTGGTTAAGAGCAAAACAGTTGGTCAGACACCAAAAATTAAAAAATGGGCTGCCTGAAGGAGTGATTGCTTAGGAGAGAAGATAACAGGCTTCACTACTTCTATTACTTTAACCAGTCTTCCAGCTGTCACATTTGTTCTCCAGCGCACTATTGTTCTCAAACCATTTCTGAGGCTGATTCTGAAGTCAGTATGTAATGAGTTTGGATTTGGAAATATCCTTGTTACTTTTTCCACAAGTGCATTCTTGTTTGGAGAAAACAAACCAAGTGCTGTATCTCAATCTGTCCCCTTTTTTACAATCTGTCTTTCAAAGTCCTCTTGTATAAATAAGAACAAGTCTTACAGTGCTCTTCAAATCAGGAATTAGCATTGATGTTATTTATGAAAATTCTTGCAGGTATCTCTTACAGTGTCCACATTGACTGAGATGGAATAAGCTGCACATTCACTACGCTTGGGATGATTTCTGGCATTTTATACAAGTAGAAAGCTGGACAAGTTTTATATTTAATTTAGGCAATGGGATGGACTGAGTCATTTTCCTTTACTTAATAATCAGAATGTAAGGTTTTTCCTTGTTTTTGAAAGAATGAGACATGGACATAAAAGAAAACAACTGGAAAACTCTTTCACTGCATAACGATACCATCAACCCTGCTGCAGTTGGAGAACTTATTGTTACACATGTTCCTTGTGTTTACGATGCACAAAGAAGCATTTTACCATAAAGAAAAATACATATTCTGTGAAGAAATACTGATGTGTATGGCATGGTATACAGCTATGGAGCACTCCCTGATATAACATGAACATCAGCAAAGGTCTGTTGTTGTGGACCTCAGTTATACTTCTGAGTTGAGCTGGTGCCTATGAATGTAGGATAAAACTTCAGCCAACATGGTCACAGAATTTGTGGTACCCAAGGTAACTCAATTACAACCAAATCAGGCATCCCTGCCTACCATGCACAGTAAAGATTCACACACAGATATGCGTATACAAATAATATTTATAAGGCCAAATGTGTGTGTGTGTGTGTACTTGCATATACTTCAACATCAGTATGAAATTCAAATATCTACTTCTCACAGGGATACCCTTTTTGTGAAAAAAAAACCCACAACACTAAATTTTGTTCTCTTAAAATGGAAGGATGCACACTGTATATTCCTCTTTTATTAAAGACAGATGAATAGCCTCCTGCTGTGGGATAGTCTCCTGAAAGCAACCTTATATGATGTTTTCATAAAAAGACTTTATACATTCGTTTTAAAAAGAAGATGCGTGTTTAGTCTTTTCTGCACATGAAGCATGTAATTGTGATACAAAATCAATAAATATATTATCCTCATATCCTAGAAGAGCTATCATCACAGATTAAGTTCGCCAGAAAATGACCCAGAGGGGGGAAAAAAAAAAGCTAGGAAGGAGCAAAAATATTTATCTCTGTATCTCCACTTAAATGCATCTGGTTCTATGAAAATATACTGTTTTAATTAAGACAGTTTTCTATGCTTATATGTTACTTTGAAAGGGCTGTGATAATTGTCAACAACACAGCAACTCTCAAACTTGGAATATAACATATTCATTATTATGAGAGAAACAGTTCAGGAAAAATATCTGACATAATAATGTAGTGATACTTCTTAGCCAAGAATATACTTATTAACATAAGAGATGGGGAGATTAAGGCTTGATTTGGTTTTGGGGTTTTTTATCACAGAAATTAAATGGAAGAAAACCATGCTCTTTTCCCCATTCTGCAGCAGAAGCCATTTCTGTCAGCTAGCCTGAAATTGCACATTCTCAAAAAAAAAAAAAAAGAAAAAAAAAAAAAAAATTTAGTCACTAAACAGACATGCCTGGGCCAGCTTTGCCAGAAGGAGAAACTGGAGCAAAGTCCAACTGCACAGATACTGCTGTACTGCATATGGGTAACACTTGCCTCATCTCCACCAAATGAGGAGTCCCCTGACCATTTCTTTGACATACCCCACTCTCTACATGAAAGAAAATTTGGTACAAACCGAAATAGACAGTACAATGCCTAGTTCATGCTTTTTTAAGGAAACACTTACAGATCACCGTAGACAAGGCCATAAATCTCTGCTGTGCTGTGATGGTAGATTCCTCTCAGGATAATTAGAAGAAGGATAACAACAAAAGCTGGAAGCCCCCAACTCAAAAGGAAGTAAAGCAGATAGCGCCTCTCTGTGTGCTCATCATTCATCACAAGGACGTACCAGAAATTAACAGCCTGAAGAATAATGCACAAAGACAATCAGTAGACTTGCTGGTGATAAACTATGCCAAAAACCAAATCACTGTGAAGGTCACAGTACAACGTTTTTCTGCCCTGGTATCTGTACAAACACTATTCAACAAAAATACTTTGTCCTCAGTTTTTTTCCTTAAGTAACAAAAAGACATTATAAAAGCAATATGCTTATTTATATTACTATTTTGAATTAGACTAACATAGAGGAAGAGAAACTCTGTTTAGTAGAGAATACTATTTTTCCAATGTAAAAACAGCTTTTTGGTGCAAAAGTCACTTCTTCTCTAGATATTCATACCTTCACTTTGAATACTGGCATATAGTATTTCTACATCTGATCTGCACTTCATATTTTTATGTTATTGTTCAGCTGTATGTACCTTGTAGGAAATGCATTAAACTCCTTTGATGGTTCTGTGATCCTGTTCTGAGCTCAGCAGTACAAGACAGACGTGGAGCTCCAATGAACCAGTAAAGGCTCATGATGATGATTGTGGGATGGAAAAGTTCTCCCATGGGGGAAGGCTGAGAGAGCTGTGGCTGATCAGCCTGGAAAAAGGATGTTCAGGGGGACCATATCCATATGTATAAACATCTGATGGGAGGCAATGGCGAAGAAGAGGGAGACAGACTCTCCTCAGTGATGCCCAGTGGTGGGGCAAGAGGAAATGGGCCCAAATTAACATACAAAAAGCTCAATCTGCATACAAGAAAAAGCTTTCTAATTGTAAGCGTGGTCAAACACTGGGCCAAAAAGGCCAGAGAGCTTGTGGAGTATGTGTCCCTAGAGAATCAAAATCAAAATTATCATGGTCCTGGGCAACCTGTCCTATCTGTTTGAGTTAGGGTGTTGCACTAGACAGTCTCAAGGTACCCCTTCAGACTTAAACAGTTCTGTGATTCTGCACAATATATGTGTAAGAATTTGAGAAAAAAGTGCAAATAAATTAATGTAAATCCACAGGCATCTCTAAAACATTCTGTTTTCTTATAATCAACTCATCATCAAGCAGCATAATTTAGTTTAAAACCATATATGAATCAAAATAGTGGAATAGCTGAAACCCCTTTGAAGAGCCAGTAGTAGGAGTAGAGGAAACCCTTCAAGTAAATCAGAATACTTAGCACAGTGCCTGAATATTTGAATTTTCCTCAGGATGTTCATAGAAGAAACACTGTCATGTGTGAGCATTTTTAAATGCACATCTACACAGTACTGTCTAATAAACATGTAAGCTATCCACAAAAAAAAAAAAATTAAAAAAAAAATCTCACTTTCTCTACTTCAAAACTGTTATACCACCTACAGGTCTCCATGCTATATCATTATTTCTGGCCTTTTATATGGAGTGAATAGGGATTGTCTTTTTTTTGCATATAAAGTATTAATTCGAGCTTGTGCCTTTAAGCATGTCTTGTCAGTCAACAGAGAAAGGACAGGCACCTTCAGGCACTCATTAATCCTAACCCAAGCATAATCATCTCTCTCCATGTTCTACACAAGGGTTTCATATAATAATTTTGACTTACATGCTTCATTTTCAGCCATGTACTGTAAGGATAAGTAAAAATTCATACACTGTAACAAGACAATGTATTGTGATTATTTTATTGAGGGAAATTTTACACATTTCCCTGAGCCAAGGGCTTGGCTATCCCTTTTTTCAGGAACACCTACTTTGCACATTCAAGTACTTAATTAGTTGTTTCTAGATTCCTTATGTAGGTATTATTAATTAACTATCATTTCAGATTTTGTTCTGTGATTTATATAGCATGAATATGCAATACTTTCACTGATAATAATTTGTTTACAAAGCAAGTTACTGTTTTAAATGCTTTTTTAGAGAATGAAATTTCATAGCTTCTATCATAGCACATGTCCAGTGTATATAATTATATAATAATTATTATGTCTTCCTTAGTTTTCATTTGGTGATTGGTGCTATATGAACAAAGGCAAAGTTTATTTTCCTTAAAAGATCACAGGTAAACCACACCACAGAAATGCAACAATCCTGGACACATTGAAAGAACAAAGAAAACCTATTAATTACATTGCTGGACATGCACAGGAAGAAAATATTAAATAGATGAAATTGGTATTTGGGCAAAAATCCACAGCTTGTGGAAGGATTTGGTTGTTCCGTTAACTTTTATGTGGGATTGAAAACTCATTCAAAATTCTGTTTGACACTTTATGTCAATAAACACACTTCAATTACATGCCCTTGTAGTCTTGGCTAGGCTGTGCCTCACTGCAAGTGCTTCCAGAGACCAAAACCCTTGAACTATATATGCCATTACACTCAGGGACTGTTGCTTTTACTAATTCTGACAATCTGGTGAACACTGCTCTTAGTCATCCAACTGAAATTGCTTTCTATGAAATCATACCTCATGTCCTTGCCCTGTGTTTGGTTAGCCTATTTAGACATCTCACCTCATTTATCACTGAGCATAACACTTAACACCACAGCTGCTGTAAAGGTGTAAGTGAGGTTGGATTATTCACATTTTCTGCACAGTAACATTTGTATTTTGATAATTACTAGTTCTTATCTTCAACCCTTTTTGATGCTTCAAAATATAATCACTGAAATAATAGAGGAGCTAATTTTAGCAAATCCTTTCCTGTTGCCATGCTGCAACAATTACCAATTCAACAGAAGAATAAAAGGTACAGTCCATTTTCTAGCTGCTCAGGTGAAAGAACAAATGGGCAAGTTGTGATTTGTTCTGATATAGAATGCTAAATAATTGTTTATTCACATAGTACTCTAATGAGACACTGTGAACTTCAGTGAAGGTATTTTTCTTTCAAAATGAGGCAGTTAGTTGAAATCACATTCCCAAACCTGGGACACATTTATTTATTTATCCATTCATTTATCTTTAATGATAATCACAGAATTTCAGAGTTTTTTGTGTTGGAAGGGGCCATCTAGTTCACATCTCCTGCCATGGGATGTTTTTGCCATGGGATATTTTCCACTGGACCAGTGTCCTGTGAACAGACATAAGGTTAATTTTTACAGTAGCCATGGCTGGGACCCATCATTGCTGAGGGCTGGGGGATGGAACCCTTCTGGGGAGAAGGGGTTTGTTCTGCGTGCCTTCTGAGTCTCCAATTCTCCTCCCCAGCCCAAGCAGAGCAGAGGGAGGGGGAGGCTGGGGGCAAGGGAGCGGTGCACAGATTCAGTGGGAACACTGAATTGGAGAATACCATTCCTAAACAAGGACAACAAAGTTGCTCAAAGTCTCATCTCCAAACTGCCCTTGAGCACTTCCAGGGATAAAGTAGCCACAATTTCTCTGGGCAACTGCTTCCAGTGTCCCACCACCTGTGATAATCTGCATATAGCTGGCAAACAACAGGTGCAAAATACTTCATTTAATATCTTTCCCAGTTTGATAGGAATAATTATATTTTCCTTCTTTTTACAAATAGCTGGAGGGGTCAATTTATAATAATTGTATACTTTCGTATAATTCCTTTTTTGAAACTGTTAAGCAGTCCAAAAATTATTCTTAAAAATAAAAAGAAAAGCATCAAACTTACTTTAAGATCAGTAAACGTCTTACAAGTCTGACACAGATGTATAGAAATTTATAGAAAATTTAAAGTGCCATTAAATGGACGTAGGAGAAAGATTCAGGTATGGGTGTTAGCAAGTTCATGACTTTCATCATGGTTTGCTTGTTGAATTGACACTTTTACTGTTGATTTAATTCACTCTAGCAATAGCTCAAGAAAACAAAGAACCATATTTTTCCATCATTTTACTCTGTATCAGAATTGGCATTTGAAAACTACAGATTTTTTTTTAACTGAATAGACAGCTTTTAATTTTTTCTGTAACTTACTATTTGCAACACATTAGAAAATACTAAGAGAAGAAACTTATTTTCCTTGTTATGCTGAAAGGCACTCTTGGCATGTGCTCCTAAGATAAATGCATTTGAAAATACAGCTTCATGCTGTTCAATTGTGCAAAGGGACACTTGTCAGGATTAAGACGTCTTGATGTCAGACATTAATATAAGGTAAATATTTTGGGCCCATAAACTGCTATTTTCACCTTGCTTACTCCTTTTCTTCTGCAGTTAAGAAAGCCTCATTCTTTAAAATAATGCGTAATGCTATCAGCTTTCAGTGACTTGCAAATTCTCCATATAAAAAGCAAGAAACAAGACCATACAATAAAAAAGGGAGAAGAACAAACAGACAAGCAAGGATGATTTGATATAATCTCTGTCCTGATGCTGAAAATGGACCAGTTGACCTCTGAGATCCTTTCCATTCTTGCATTTCACTCAATGTATGAGTAGTAGCTACACTTGTAGCAGAAATACTGACATTGAATATGTCTACAAATAAAAGAAGCTAAAAAGAGAACAAGAATTAAAACATGAAGCTATAGATTAATTGTTTTGTAAAGAGCACTGACATAAGACAAAATGTTTGGCATAATTACTAAGCACTATGCAGAAGATGGAATGATTACAAAAACCAAAAAGTAAGGAAGTTATCCTACAGTCTAGAAAGTGAAGCTCTTTGATCTGGACAGAAATAAATCTGTATATATCCAACTGAAATCAGTGTTTTCTTATAGAGCTTTGTTGCCTGAAAATATTGCTCCACCAACTTTTGGTCAGTTAAAATCAACTAGGTTTTATGGATACTTCAGTTTCACATGCGTGCACCATGCTTGTACTTGATTATCACATTCACCTACCTCTGTATCCTGTGATCATGGCAGTCACTTTCAGATTTCTATGATATAAGTCAATGATCAAACATTTGCATTATGGTATGCAGCCTCATAGAGGGCAGAGTGACTGCACAAAGGACACAGAATCTGTTCCTATATTTTTGTTCTTTTCCAGACAGAAGTATTTAAGCCTCATTCAAAAACATCATTAAATCTGCTTTTCAAATTAAGCCATGTATATAAAGTATACTATGCTGAGAATACAAATATTAATTTCCCTGATTTTAAAATCTGCTACTCTAACAGCAGTAGCATCCAGACTTCCCAAATCAGTCTGGTTTCCCCTTGGATCCACAAGCTTTTCTAGAGTAGTCATGGGGACCAGTTCAAGCAAAGAGATGCCCCCAGCACTCCTTCCTGTGTTCTGATATAGCTTACTCATTCCATAGTGAGATATAAAAAGTCAAGATCTAGTCCCAGCTGAGAGGAGAAAAACTCTGGCTGAGGACTGGGATCTATGTGTCCCATTATTTAATTCCTTTTGGGTCTTTCAAAGTTCAGGAATTATTCTCAGCTGAAGGCCTGCACCTACAAAAAGAAGAATCATCTTCATTCTGAGTTCTACTCCTGGCAGCTCATCACTCAGCAGGCTGATGGATTCCCTCTTAAGCACTTTCATCCAATCAGATTTCCATGAAGAGTCTTCATGTTTAACACAAGCCTGAGGCTCCACTACATGCAATCTATTGTGCGAGTTGTTACCATTTGACCAAAGCCTATGTAAAAAAAAATAACACTGGATTCCAACTACAGACATAAAAATGACCAACTGTTAACTTCCATACTACATTTTTTTGGCATTGTAAGTAATTTTTGCAACTCAATGAAATGTAAAACACATAGAATGGGATGATAAAGTACTATCAAACACTGAGTTATCAAAGCTTGAGGCATCTCAGTAAAAAAAGAAACTTTAAAATGTTACTTTGTCCAAATTAGCAAATGGTAAAGAGCTCTAAAGCAATTTAGGAATAAAGTGAATGAGCAACTGTGAAGAATATAATTTACAGTTTATAAAATATTTTAGAGTAGTTAACCTACAAAACATCATTTGCCAAGCAAACAAATTTCTCTATTGAGGCCATCTACATGTAGTTTTCTAAATGAGCACAGCTGAGCCATTGGAGAGGCCAATAGCGTTTTCAATGAACATGAGCCTGACAAATTCCATGAAAATGCCACATATCACATGAATGTTACTGGGAGAGAAAGTTGGATTTACATACAGCCTAATTTGCATTTCTTGGTTTGGTCTGACAGCCTGCATATTGGAGGATTTGTACAGTAAGATATGGAGCTGCATATATAAAGCTGTATGCTGAAATGAATGTGCTGGGGACAAATCCTCTTAAAATAACAGACAAATAAATCACTTAACTCACATACTGGTGCTAAATATAAATTTCTAGATGAGGGCATAATAATGTATTTTTTTCTAATAGCCCCACAGCTTGTTATTTTGACTAACTTACAACTGGTAATTTTCCATAAATAATTGGATTGTTCATGGTGTTCCATATTAGTTCAACTGTTTTTTCCACCATTTACTGTCCTATAATATATCAAACAAGCAAAAGATCTGTGACTAGTCTGGTGTACTCATCTGATGAGTATTAGCTGAGGGAGCTGGGGGTGTTCAGCTTGGAGAAAAGGATGGGGGCACATAGTTTACTTGTGGACTTGGGAGTATTGAGTTAATTGTTTGACTTGATGATCCTAGAGGGCTTCTCCAGTCTAAATGATACTAAGATTCTATAAAAATTCTGGAAATAATTATGAATACACATGTTCTGTATTTTAATGTAAACTTGTGAAGGTATGTCTGTCATGTTACACAAATTTAATGACTAAAATGCCACTGACTTAACAAATTACAGTATAGTTTACATTTACACTTCACATGTAAAGGACTGCTTCAAAAGACCAAATAAGAGATGTTTAGAAAAACTATTAACAGTAAGAAAAATAATTCTTCCTTGTTCTGAGGCAATTCTGCCTTGCTCTGAGGATAAAGTGAGGCAAGGACATTCTTACATAGTTGGAATGGAAATGAATGGCAAAAGTCCTTATAGTGTTTGTATATTTACCCTTGTAGTCACCCTAGGTTTAATAAAAGTCATCTAAAGTTTTGGCCTTCTAGTAGCACTGAATTTCAGTGCTCTATATCTCTCTCTATACATAGATGCACAAATATGTATATATATATGCACTAAAATATAATAGAAATACAGTCTATCAATTACTTTTACACATGTTTTGGGGAAGGGATAAAAAGGACTACGATACCAACCTGAATAAGCATCCAGCTGAACTGGCAGAGGTAAAGATAATGGGTAACAGATGCGAGAGCAAAGCAGCTTTCCTCTGAGATATGCTGGCTCATGTAAGCAGAGGCCAGAAATGAAACCTGCCGGGGATAAAAATGAATACATGCATATTGGAATTAAACAAAATTAATTTAATATTAAAAATAAGGGGGAAAAAATTAGTTCGTAAGTAAAACATACACAAAATTACTATTTCAGAGACTCAGGAAAGATATCTTGGACATTTAATATTCACCCAAAAGAAGTTATGCTTAAACACTGTCAAGCCCTATACCAGCTTTAAACTTTCTGCAGACCATCTTCTATCTCTCTGTTGGAAGATGTAAGCTCTTTAGTATGACCTAAGATTAGCTCAGCTGGTTAGAACATGGTGCAAATAATGCCAAGGTGGTGTGTAAGCTCTGTATTCATTCAAGAGTTGGACTAAGTGATCCTTGTGAGTCCCTTCCAACTCAGAATATTCTGTAGTAAATTTTAAGTAGAATTACTTAAATTGAGTCATATTACTGAGATTTAGTATACTGCTTGCTTTGCTTTACTTGCTTAGCATGAGCAGTTGGATTTTCTGAAGCCTTAGTTGACAAGCTGTGTTCTTACACCAAGATATATTTTTGGCTGGAATGGAAAGGATATTGACATTGCACTGATGTTCTTGTTGCTAGGTAATGTTTATCTTAAGTCTAGGGCTTTTTAATTTCCCATGCTCTGCCAGCTAGCAGGTGCTGTACCACTCTTAAGTTACTTATTTTCACAAATCTGACACTTGAGACTCTGCTATGGGAAGCCAAGGATCAAGCTTGAAGAATGAGGAAGCACGCCTGAGAGGGACGGTATGTGTGGGCAAGGAATCAGGAGAGGCACCCATGGGCCATCTGGAGCTGGTGAAGGGACCCCAGTCCTTGTGGTGACGCCGTGGGTGGTGCATGTGTAACTCTTTGAGTGGTGTGAGAATGTTCAGGCAGTGGCCTCTCCTTTAACACACTGCACCTTTATATGACGAGACTACAGAGAGACCTAATATTTATTGTTTAAAATTTTTCCCATGCAACATTAGACACGGGTTTTGTAACTGAGGGTGGAGATTTTCCTGTATAAAAACTAAAAGAGATGTTATCTTCTGATTTGAGTAGATCCAGATATTTTATCAAGTAAACAAACAAACTCAAGAGGCATTTACTGTCTTCAGGCTGTCAGACATGTAGGAATGTAATACCTCAGCCCCTAAGATAGCAATACTGGACAAAAGGCAGGAAGCAAGTATTCCTCTCTCTAATACCATACCAGGATTTCACATTCACAAAGCAGTTACAATTTGGGTTTTTCCACAGATATGCCAAATGTCAAAGGCATTACATGTTGGCTAGGTAAGTAGCCAATGAACTGTCTATGGAACAAATGTATTCCAACTCTGACTGCAATAAATGTAGCTAGACAATTTCAACATAACATTTTAAATTAAAACACAACTCAGAAATCTTAAGCCCCTTCTTCTATAAATTTCTTCAGAGAAGAAATGGCTCTACAATCAAAATTCATAAAAGGCTTAAAGTGTTCACATAAAGAAATTCATCCACTGTGCTGATCATTTTTTATTTCCCTGACAAAAAATACTACTCTTTTGACCACTGACTTCTTAGTAACAGAAATTAATGGGCTATGGAGACTGATTTTATGTGCATAAAATCAGGAGATGGGATAAGTAAGAAAGTTAAATTAAGTAATTTGGGATACATATGGACACATTTGCAACAAAATACTCATATGGTACTGTGTAACCCTTACACAGTCTCCTTATCATAAAAGTACGTCATAAATGTTACATAAATGAGGATAATGTTACCTCAGCATGAAATGGAAGAATAACAATGAGTACCTGGGGAACAAGTAGACTAAAACCACTTATGAAATGCATTTCAATATTTAAAGGAAAAAATAAATGAACTTTAAGTAATTTATGTAGTATTTATCAGCTTCTGCTGGGAACTGGCATCTAATTATGGCCACATAACCATTCAGTTATTAAGAGCTTAACACACAGCTTAATAAAGAGTGGTCTTTGCCAAATTCTGACACTGCTGAAAGAAATCCTATCATCTGGAGTGGGTTAAACATAACTGTAATATGTCTGCAATAGCTACCATCCATGAGGGATACACAAGAAGTGTTTTTGGAAACAATGCCATAGCAGCAGCTCTCTCAAACATTAGCAGTAGTAATTTGTCTAAAACTTGAGCAAATGCTTCTACTGACAACAGGCATCTGGGTAGAAAGGCTTTACCATCTTTTGTTCTCTGAAGGCTTGTGTATACATCAAGGACAGACTGCTAGGCTAGAGACGGAGAAAAATAGGGGATGTAAAATACAAAATACAAAAGCAGAATGATGGAGTCCTGGAAATATGTTTTTAACCACTTTTGGACTGAATGTTGGCTTGAAAGCATTTTGCATTTGTAACTAAGAAACTGTAATTCCTAACACTCTCCTGTGCTTCAAGAAAAATAAGGTTTTGCATATTGAAAAAGAGGATTTTTCAAATTTTTCAAATCAAAAAATTCGAAGAGTCCAAATATGTGCTAAAAAATGTGTATTTGTGATAGAAAGTGACTTTTCTTAAAAGAACAAGATTGCAATATGGCTGGAGTAATCCCTCAGCTAAGAATTCAGTGTAATTAGTGGCCTTAGAGTATTTTAGGGGAAAAATAAAAGAAAGTAAAATATAAAATTTTCATAGACTTGTTATCTTGCATCTTGGTCAGAAGATACAAATGAGAGTTGGTTTATAACACAAAAACCCCTTCAAACCAACAAATGTGCCTCCCCAATAAAGTGTTCCTTAGACTAATTGTCTCATGTCTTCTGTGCATCACTTAGTTATTACCTGCAGGGTGCAACCTTTTATAACAAGAAACATATTACTTTAATAACAAAACCATCTGCCATCTATTGGAACAAGTTGTTCCCTCTTGGATCTTTAAAATATGTGCTCATTATAACACCAATTGTCCAGAGCTCTTTTTACAGAGACCTTATGGTTTAAATAGCCCTTTTCAATCTTTGGATTTACTGACATTTAGTTCTGTGCTGAGATGATAACATAATGCCTCTTCTTCATACATGTCAAGGTGATCGACCTTGACCCAAAATGGTTTAATTGATAATCCTTTATATCACTCAAGTAGCAGGCTGATATTTTTATTAATTTGACTGGTGATGGTTCCATACCACATTGAAAATTATGATGATAGCATATCATTCAAAAGGTTCCCCTTGACAGGGTGAAAAAAAAAAAGTAAAAAAATAAAATACGATAAATAAATGAACTTCTGTATAATAGCAAAAAGCTATTTGACAGGGTCCCCATCTGACAGTCATTTACTCAGTTAATCGAAGGACACTGCAATTCTTTTAAAACTTTAAGACAATTATTTAGCAATTACTTCAAGGAAATTATTACCAGGATATTCTATCTAAGTCATCAACACCAAACTATAAATGAATAACATGATATGTATTTCTGTTCCTGTATGAAGAGTATTTTTGTACTGCTGTTTCCAAGGGGCAGGCTGTATCTGAACATCACTCCTCTACTAGCTGAGATCTGCTCATAGTTTCCAGCCTGCACTTTTTTTCATGGTCAGTTTATATCTGTTTTTATTTCTCTTGTAAGTCTCTCAGGTTACAGAATTTCGTCCTCCATGGGGTTTGTAGTAGCATGAATTTCTGGAAGGCAGTAGTACTCTCCCTCAGGCTCCATTTTTCAGGGTTAACTGAGCCACAGCATAACATGGTTAGAGATGCCTAAGCTGATCTGGACAGCAAAAGCTGTTTAGCTCCATGACTACAGCATCTGCCTAGATCAATTTACCTTGTTTCTCACAGTAACCAGACATACTGAAATGTATGCTCACACATGAAATGTACACCAAATTTGTTCACACCAAATGTACAAAGTTTATTCACTAATGCCAGCTATAGATGATGCAAGCAAATCCATGAGCTTTCTAATGATTGAAGAATTTATTAAACTCTAAGTTCAGAATTAGCAGGCCTTAACTGGCCTCATAATAGAAATTTACAGAGAAAGCAATGAGTCTAAGTTGCCTTTTTAATATTTTACAAAAGAAAAAAAGGAAAGACCAGAAGAGTGAAGAAATTCCAATCAGGTAAAAAAAATCAACAGAGAAGTTGTATGAAAACTGAAATAAGAATTATGTATGAAAAATTATTAAATGCAATACAGAGCAGTAGTAATTCCAGTTTTTCATGGTCAGTGCTGAAATGCTACCATATGTTAGACTTTAAAATAAGGATACAGCACATGACACAAGGAAAAAAATCCTGTCTTTACATCACAACAAATGTGGAAATTCTAAATATATTCTTTGCCCCAGACTTTTCTAGCATGACCAGCTCTCAGGGATGCTGTGTCCCATAAACTAGGGGATAAGGTTGGAGCAAGGAAGATATACCCTTGGTGGAAGAGGGTCAGGACTGGGAATAATTTAGCACAAGGGACAGTGGCACCTGATGGGATGTGCACATGAGTGAGCTGGCTGTTGTCGTTGCAAGACCACTTGCAACAACCTTTCAACAATCAGGTTACTAGGAAGTGCCCAAAGACTGGAGGAAAGCAAAGGTCAGGAAGTGCAAAGAAGAGGATCTGAGCAACTAACAGGTTAGTCAGCCTCAACTCCACCCTTGGGAATGTGAGGGAGCAGCTAATCCTGCAAACAATTTGCAGGCACATTAAGGATGAGACAATCATGAGGAGTAGCCAGTATGGTTTCAGCAAGCGAATGTCATGCTCGACCAGCTTGATAAACTTCTGTGATGCAGTCTGGTAGGTGAAGAGAGCAGCATATATTGTCTACCTGGGCTTTAGTCAAGCTTTTGACTCCAGTTCAAAGAAATGCAGTGAAGCCAATGAATCTGAAGCACTGTGACAGAAGAAAGAATATCCCTTTAAAAAAAAAAAATTGAACAAAACTTTTTTCCTTGTATTTTGTAGCAAAGCACATCACATAATGTCTTTCCATTCAGAGAATGAGCAACTGACTTAATGTTCTGCCCTGATTTTTCA